AGATTCTCTTAAGACTTGTCTGTTTATATATATTTGTCTTGAACAAATTTGGTTGTGAATAAAATATATTCTTTTATATATATATCCGATCTGAAGTTGTTTATTTAATATCAGACAACAATATGATCAAAACCTTTTTTACCAATATAGGCATTACACAATACAGTATAAACATGTTTGCCAACAGACTTTTCAAGTCTTTGTAAGGCAAATATGTAATGATCAACCCTCATTACAAACACATCATGCCTGCAGAAGATCATGGTTGCAAGAGGGGTAAAAGTATAATTTTTACACCAGCACTTCATATAGTCCCTCTGGCAATAATCTCCACTGGGCATAGAAGAACCCATCCAGGGATGGCACCTCTGGATGGTTGCAGTAAAAATGAGGAGGGGGCATGCATGGAGGGCCCATCCTGCCCCTCCATCCCAGTTAAGGCACCTCAGGATGGATGCAGTAAAAATGAGGAGGGGGGTGTGCATGGAGGACCCATCCTGCCCTTCCATCTGGGGATGGCTGGGAGGGCTAGCCAGATTTGTCCTATAAGACCATCCCCTGGGATGGAGCAGGGGCTCCCATAGCCATTGCATCCCAGATGGGCCAAGGGATGCCCTGATTCTTTGCTGGGCGTATATATATATATACTCCTATATACCTAGGCAACCATCTACAACTAAATGGATTAACCTTTGCAAGATAGAAGGGCTTTTTTTCAGGCTCATGGGAAGACAAATAAGTTTGTTTTGTTGCATCAGCATGAAAAACGTTGTTTTAGGCCTTTCTTCTTCTCTATAAGTGTTCATTTTGGCAAATATGACACTCTGGAAGTTTTCTCTGTGGACTAATGACTTAATGCCTTGTTTTGGATAGCAAAAATGGTATACAGTGTATAAAGAATATGCAGTATTTCATTTGATTATTAACCCTTGGATGGTGGAGGGTTCTTTCCCATACTGGGATGGAGTCGGATTATTTTTGTATTCTCCGGCGTTTTCAGTTTTGGGGAGGTCACAAAATCCCTTCCAGGTGGGCTGAGGCAAAGTTGGGATTATTCCAAAAAAAGCTGGTAGCCTAATTGATAATTATTTTTTTGCCCAAAAAATTTTTCTGTGCTCAGAGAAAATAGCAATGGGATTTTTCCCAACTTCGCCCTTGACCACCTGTTATCGTTTTTTTCCAAACCTCTCTGAGGTGCCACAAAATTTTGCGAAAATAGTCCAACTTTGCTGCACAAGGGTTAAAGAGTCTTATCATAGCTGCTACATGCCTGCAATGTTTGCAGGATTCTGACATATGCTGTTCAGAGAACACTTGATGAGATGCAAGGTTATATAAGTAGAGTACACATAATATGGGTTCAACTGGGCATCACCTCTCAAAGTACTATAAATGTTCCCAGTAAGAATAAACGAATAAAACACAAATACGAAATTTATTTCAGCATGAATGCTTACAATATGCTCCATGGAGCCCCAAACGCACCTTTTAAAAGTTTCAAATCTTTATGAAAGATCACGTTTGATTAGTACAAGTGGAAGAGAGAAGTTGCATTTCAAGCCCAGCCATCAGCGAACAGACAAAACTTCAAAATGGCGTCTTTGAAGTTGGGAAAAATTGAGTTAGTTTAAGGCAACATTTTATTACATGAAATACAACTGTACTGTATAATTATAGCCAAAATAAAGGCCACAATGACGGATGATCGTGATTCGATCCTGGAGGACAATGTACAATTGCACATAAATGCCATCCGCATGATAACCTCCGCCCACAGCTGACGTCATCCACGCACCTGGCGATACGGGTAAATGAAATGTCTGGAACGCTTCCAACTTTCATCCGCTGCAGGAAAAAGCAGGAGGCGAGGTATTTATACACGCCGTTTCCGGACGAGGCTCATCTCAGAGCGCAAAAAAGAAAAAAAAGCGAGAAAGGCGGGCTAAAAAAAAGAGAAAAAAAAATGCGAGAAGCAGTGATCCCGTGTGGCGCCCCTGAACACACCAGCAGCAGGCGCAGTGATCGTGAGCGGCGCCCCAAGCGTACAAGCTGTGTCGACCGCGATGTCCTCGTGGAGAAGTAGACTGTCCAGGTCAAGTTGTACAGTGGATGATTTGATTGAGATAATCAAAGCGCCCTCTGGCGGCGCGTACGCCTTCCCGACTGAGCCTTACAACGAAGTTTACCCAGGCATCTTCATCGGCGATGCGTGAGTCTTATGCCAGGACAGTGCTGCATTCCTTCATTCATTCATTCTTTCAAGATGGCAATTTCGTTGCATGGGGACTGGTATATTTTTTGAGACCAGGTGCATTATTCACTTTCCGAATTATAGTACAATTTAGCCTGTTTTATTTTCACTGGCGTATAAGACGATGATGATGACGACATTATGAGAGCGGGCGGGCAGCCCATGGAACTTGTCTTCCCAGCTCTTTCATCCCCGAAACAGAGCGATGAAAGTCCAATGACTGTACTTCTCTGACTTTCCCATAAAGTACATGATTGTGGGAATGTAATTAAGGGATGGGTTGATTTGGATCCTCCAGGGAAGCTCGAGAAATTTATTTCAATTTCGGAGGGCAGGTTGTGGATTACGTCCGTGTCAGCACTCAGCACTCCGTCGATTACAGTGGGCCGATGGTATTCCTTATTCTTGTTGAAACTATGGACGGGAGAAAAAAAAATACCAACCATCATGAAGCATAGCTATTTTTCAAAAGGAATACAGTACTCTACTTCACAAGCCTTCTCATGTCCTAAATCATGGCTTTGACAAATTCTATGCATTCCACCAATTGAGCAATGGATAAGTGGAAGTGACACCTACCAGCAGTGGCTTAAGCTTGAATGATGGGTGTCATTCAATTGCTTCAGACTAATAACAGTTAGACCCCCAGATGCAGACAGAATTGGTGCATCAAGAGTGTCCCTAAGGTGAATTGTCCCAAAGTTGAGCCTTGTTTTCCTATCTACATTATATACTTTTCAATTGGTGTTTTATTGAAGAAATATTCCTCAGAATTCCATGAAAACAAAATTTTTTTGCCACATGAATTTGGTTCAATGAATTACATTTTCAACTCAATAAGATCATTTGGAGCGTTGAATAGTGTATCTCTGTACTGTGCATAGCAATGTTGGCATTTACAAAAATAACGTTCAAGTCACAAAGAGAGGACAAGGTCCCCCTATACTGTAGGTAATATCTTCTAACTAGCTGAATGGATGGGAAATTGATAGGAGAAATGACAAGGATTTTTCTTGCATAAATTGTGGGGTTGGACATATCTGTTTCTTGCAATCAAGCCAAATATAAGTCAATTTTCCCAAAATTTATTGGCAAATTTATCATGCAACGTCCTTATATCAAGTCAGTGTCCATATGTTGTGCCTTTTTATGATTTTTTATTGAAAAATGAATTTCCCTGTGTTGAGTTGTCCCCATGTTGAGGTTTCAGGATGTGGTGGTCTCACTGTGCATCAAAAACACCATTTTTTCTTTACAATAAATACTTATCCAGTTATGAGAGTATGTGGCCCACAGAGAAGTCAAATTTTATTCCAATTAATATGTGCCTTCTACCTCCTCCCCCTTGCATTCCAAATTTCATGCCCAGCAGAACTGGGAAAATTCTGTGAATTTCCTATGGTAGGGTATCCTTGAATAAAATTGAAATTAACCTGAATCTCACCATATACCATGTTTTTTACCTACCCAAAATACTGTATTTCAAACACTTGTCTGTCCAATGAAGAAGTCCCATCATCCTTCTCTGATTGCTGTACATTATTTTCAGCAAGCATGTAAGTCATAAATACATGTATGATACAGTATGACTTTATTTCTTGCACAGCAAGCATTTTTCTTCTCCATGAGTTTATTGGCGTGTCAATCATTTTGCATAAGATGACGAATTTTTATAAGCTCCTTTGACAATTGCTAGAATCGACATGTTGTAGAAAAATCTAAAATATTGAAAGCAATGGTCTGGCATGTGTACAGTACTGTACGTTTTTGTACTTCTCTGACAAACTTACATAACTGATGGCAGAAGGTTCCTGTCCATCATGCAGCCGAGTTCGGGTTTTTTTGGAAGGGGGGGGGGGGGGAAGGGGGGGGGATATTTCAGTTCAATCAAATGACTCCAGGTTATTGGGAAGGCCCATGTCCGGGAGAATCGGGATCAACAAAGTCATTTTGTCTATACAAATCTCAAATGTTGCTTCTACTTCTATGCTAGGAATGCATTAAAAAAATGCCACCAGTCCAGCAAGTTTTTTTTTTCTGTTTTTGAGACAAAAATTTTGTGAAGGATTATAAAATAACATCCGACTTTTACTGGACTTGGGGCTTGGTTCAAAAATACTGTACAACTCTTTTAATTTTCAATGCTCATATGTCGGCACAAAAGTTCGCAAAAATATCCGCACTTTGTCACCCAAGGGCCAGGTAAGCAGTTATAGATGGTCTGTTGAGTGAGGAAATAGGAATGGTGTTGATGCAATTAGCCAGATACAGGATTGATATGATTTTCCAAACAATTGTAATTTGGCCATTGATGGGTTGAAATCCTTATTGTGACAGACACACAGCGCTTTGTACAGGAGTGCTGCGCTCGCTGGGAATCCGCCACGTGGTGAACGCTGCGCATAGTCGCAACAAGCGAGAAGGCCTCGAGGTGATCGAAGAGTTCGATCCCTTCGTCCGCACCACGGAGGCGTATTATGAACGCGCTGGGATTCGGTTCTATCCCGTTCCGGCCATCGATCTCACTCACTTCCGCCTGGCACCGTTCTTCCGGGACGCGGCCGATTTTATTGACGAGGCCCTGGCTTCCGGTGGTGAGTGTGGACCCGTGCGCCGCTGCATGATGAGGCCATTTACAGCAATCCGTCATTGGAAACATGCCTCTCTTTTGCGAAATTATATATAAAAAAAAAAGGAGAAGAAGATCAGTGAAGCTGTCTCACCACATACTCAGGAAATTGCAGGCAATCCCAAAATTGACCATGGGGCTTTTTTGCAGCAGGAAACCCCCATGATGGTGGATCATTTTCAAGATACTGTACAGTGAGACCCTGGGATGAGGACATAATTGATGCATCGAGACTTCTAGAGCGTCATTAAGTTGTATTGGGCCGGGCCAAATTCAAGTCTTGGTTTCCAATAGATTTACACTCTATGATTTTTAATTGGTGTTTTATGAAAGAAATATTCTCCAGAATTCCATGAAATTTTTTTTTTTTGCCACTGAAATTTCATTTAGGAAAGATCTTTTCAACTGAATAAAAGCATTTGGAGCATTGACTAGTGTATCACTTTACAGTTCATTGAAATGTTGGCATCTGTAAAAATAACCTCCAATTCACAAAGAGCCACGGAAGTCCCATTGCTGTGCTATAGGTAATTTTTTTCAAATCAGCTAAATGGATGGAAAAGTGATGGGAAAAGTACCAAAGAATTTTTCTTGCATAAATTTCAGGGTTGGAAATATCTGTTTCTTGCTATTATTAAGCCTAGTAAAAGTCAATTTTCCTAAAATGTATTGGCAATTTTATCATGCAATGTCCTCGTGTAAAGTCAGTGTCCATATGTTGGGCCTTTTTAATGATATTGTATTGAAAAATAAGTGTCCCTATGTTGATTCGTCCCCATGATGAGGTGTCCACATGTGGGGGTCTCACTGAATATTCTAGAATTTTTGTGCCAAATCAATTTTTGCCAATATCCACCTTCATTACAGTCACAAAAAAGTTTTTGAAGATCATACAGATTCTCTTCACACCTCTGCTTTCTCCTAGCAAAAACGCTATCTTCTGTTGACCTTATTGAGAATCACTGTCAGCAGTAAGAATTTAAGTTTGAGAAGAATTGCACCAAGTTGCTTCATCCTTTTCGTCAGTTCTATGCTTCTGTAGGTTTTTCTAGTTGAATGAATGGAGATTAATACAATTTCGACACAGTATACCTTTCATCACTTGGTGACTATATATGGCGACTATATACTGTTCGAAGTATTGCTCAATGAAAATCCGAATGAGGAGACGGCTGAGATTGAACTCGTAACTTCACCCCATTACAGGAAGAAATAGAAGATCGCATGTGTTGAGCATTTTCAGGCAGCTAGCTGTCTGAAAACAATAGTTTAACAATTTAGAATTTGTGTTAGTCACTTCACTCTAGAAAATCTCACATATAATCCTATTAGAAAAAAGTTTTTGCAATAGTGATTGTTGTTTTGTTCAGGATGCTGAATGTTAAGGTGAACTTGAAATTACAATTTAAATTCAAATCTGCAACTGAAGATACTACAGCAGTACATATACCAAAGAAAGAAAAAAAATACTTGTCACTTGTTATCGTTGATCCCAGAGCACCTTGAAGGATGATTCTGAATCTCAAGATATTCGAAAAATGTTTGAAGAATCAGCATCAGGTGGACATCAGTATGACGTCTGTCATGGCGGGAAGAAAGCTCTTTGTATATTTAGGAATTATTGCTGCATTAATGACGGAATCGTTGATGACGAGTTTATTCGATTCTTATCCTCAGCCTCCATTGCGAATTTGACAACGGCAGTGACGCAATTAAATTATACAATACCTTATCCTAGAAAAGTAAGCAGTCTGTGAACTTCCGCACATACCTCAATTCATGTGAGAATAGTTAATACGCACCGGTATTGTTCAATTTTTGACGGAACTCGTTCATCTAGACTCCAGAGAAACAAAATTCATTCAGACAAATGAGTAAAATTCTCTCCAGAGGTTCTGCATCCAGAAAAATGTGTGCTCTCCTGATACTTCTACAGGGACCCCTAGAGGTCGCCCGCCCGCAAAACACAAAACAGCAGGACACGCCATGAACACAAAAATCAAACATGATACACTCTTTAAAAAAAAGCCAACTGACCATGAAAACCTGACAGAAAAACCTGTTCCTCTTCCAACTCTCAAAATCAGGAAGTATGAAGGAATAAATCCATCTCCTGGCTCCATGTTGAGGGTGTTGAATGACTTGAATCTGAAAGTGAAATGTCTTCGTGAAATCCGAAATTACCGACTGTTCCTGGAGATGCAGTCTTGGTCACAAATGGCCCATCATGCATTACCTTTATTTCTTGATTTGAATTCTTTGTCAAAATGTAAGGACCCTTGACAAATTTTAAATGGGGAGACTCTTAAATAAAAATGTCCTGGTTATTTCCTCCATGCGCCACTCACTTGGCCAGTCACATACTGTAGTTTTGTGCAGGTAATGCTTGAATTCAATGAACGAATCTTCTGAAATTGAATGGTTTCCTGAATCATCAAAGGAAAGGCTTCATTCCCGTCGTTGGCTATATGTAGATCATGCCCAGAATCGTTTTCAAGAAAAATTTGCAAACCCAGAACCGCAGTGCCTTTTTTTTCTCGCTGGAATTGCGCGCAAATGACCTCATATACTCTTGGTAAGATCTGCTGTGCGCTCTTCACCTCTACTGTTGATGCATTCAACTGTATAATACTCCAGGGTGAGAAACTTATTCACGTGCACACAAACCTGCCCGCCCGCTGCTAAATGCCGTCGTTAACGTCGCATTCCAGATGTTCTCTGACTTGAGTACAGTATAGTTCCACCTGGTCTGGAAAATTCATAGCATGCCTCTTATTTAGTTGAGAGCCAGGCCAAATTATGGGTTTGAGTGAATTAGTAAGTCACAAAAATTTCCATAAAAATCAATACAGTGAGACCCCCAGCTGTGGACATAATTGGCACATCAATATTTTCCCATAGACTTATATTACATATTTTCTAATTGGTGTTTTATGGAATAAATATTTGTCAGAATTCCATGAAAAGAAAATCTGTTTGCCACTTGAATTTGATTCAGTGAATACATTTTCAACTCAATAAGAACATTTGGAGCATTGAATAATGCATTCTGTCTGTACTGTACGGTCTGATGGACAGCCTTGATCTGATTTTTACACCTTATTCACAATGTATTTATGTTTATCTTGAGGAAATCTGTGCAGTGATGCCCTAGTGACACATTTATAATGGTTGAGGTTCCCAGTAGGGTTCACAAAATTTGAAATGCAATGTAGGGCTAACTTTTAGTGCCAAAATAACTGGAATTGTACCCCTTATTGATGCAGGGCATTATGGAACTGTCCATGGGTGTGATTCACCCATCACATCAACCATAGTACTTCATGGGCTTCAATTGTAATGTCCAATTATTTGCTGCATACATTGAAATGTTGGCACCTACAAAAATAACATTCAAGTCACAAAGAGAGATGGAAGTCCCTGTATATATGCTATAAGTTATATGATCTAATTAGCTGAATAGATGAAAAATTGATGGGAGAAACAACAAAGAATTTTTCTTGAATACATCTCAGGGTTGGAAATATCTTTTTCTTGCAATAAAGCCAAATGCACTGAAAGTCAATTTTTGAGAATTTTATTGGTAATTTTATCATGCAATGTCCTCATGTCAAGTCAGTGCCTATAATTTGAGCATTTTCATGCCCTTTTCATTGAAAAATAAATCTCACTATGTTGAATTGTCCTCATGTTCAGGTATCCAATTTATTGGTAATTTTATCATGCAATGTCCTCATGTCAAGTCAGTGCCTATAATTTGAGCATTTTCATGCCCTTTTCATTGAAAAATAAATCTCACTATGTTGAATTGTCCTCATGTTCAGGTATCCACAGGTTTCACTGCATATTCAGATGACAAAAAAATTCCCAAAAACCCCATTGGCTATAGAAGAAAGACAAAAAAACGAATTTGAAAAGGGACCAAGTTCCAGGTGCCCCAAGAGTAACCGTAGAGTGCAAATCTCTGTAATGTAGTATAATTCAATGAGCAATTCAGGTTTGTCCTCTGTAGGTACTGTGAGTTATCAGATTCTTTATGTCTACCCGTGGGGAAAATGTTCAGCCTTTCCCAAAGGTGAAACGGGAAACCCGTAACCAAATTACCAAATTGTAAGAAGGCATCCCTTGTAAGATGCACCTGATTTTTTTTAAACAATAAAAGGTTTGCCTTTGAATATTTTTCGAAGAATTTTGATTGCATTCAGTTTCTTATGAATCATTGAGGACAGCGGATTTTTGGTATGTTTTGGTTACCAGCTTAACCGAAACACTCATTCCAACATAATTACATCCACCATGGTGCCTCAATAACCGGTGAGCTGGAAATTATAGTCAGGACCAACATTTTCACCTAATTATTCATTTATTTGAATGATTGTGTTGGCCAGTGGCAAGAATGCACTTTACATGCAAATATGAGGCACCAAAAAGTTGTTTCCTTCATGACAAATGAGACAATTCCTAATTTTCAGTCCATTTTAGAAAATATTGGAAAACAAATACAAGAAAACACAACACCATAATCTTATCGTTACTGTGTTGAAGGACATACAGTGAGACCCTGAGATGCAGACATAATGGGTGCATCAAGAGTGTCCCTAATTTGAAATGTCACTAAGTCAAGTCTCATTTTTCCCTAAGCTTACATTAGATTATTTTTAATCACTGTCTTATGTACAAAAAATACTCATCATAATTCCATGAAAATAAAAATGTTCTGCCGATTTAAACTGATTCCAAGCAATATATTTCAACAGAATATGGACCTTTGGGGAATTGAATACTGATACTTTTGCACAGTACATATAAATGTTGGCATTCTCTGCAAAAATAACATTCAAGTGAAAAGGAGAAAAGGAAGTCCCTCTATGCTGGATGTAGTTTTTTAAAATTAGCTCAATGGGTGGAAATTGGTGATGGAAATGCCCAAAAACTTTTCTTATATCAATTTCAGGGTATAGAAAAGATCAATTTCTTGTAATTTGGCCTGAAACTCATTTTGAATTTTTTCACAAAATGTCCTTATGTCAAGTCCGTGTCCTCATGTTTGGCCTTATATATTAATTTCTTTTTGGGAAGATAAGTGTCCCTAAGTCAAATTGGTTGCTGGTTGAGGTGTCTGCATGTAGGGGTTTTGCTGTGTTCAGATTTCATCTTTCCAATGCTCCAGTGTGACATTTTGAGTACAGTACAGTACTATGAAAATGTTTTTCAATGTTCTTTAAGCCAATTATGCATTTTATTTTTGGACACGATTTATATAGTTTGCGGAAGAAACAAAAGAACCTCCTGTAACTTTTGGAACTTCGAATGTGACACAATTTATCTGGGTTCTACACTGACTCCCACATAAGACATGGATGAGGAACATTTCACCATTGGTAACCCTCTTCTGTACTTGCCAGGAACGTTCCGGTGTTCACCGCTCACCTTGAGCCCTTCAACATTTTGATCCACACTACTTGATGATTTTTCTTGCATTGCTCGATTTTTTAAATGTTGGAGTATTAATTTTTTGAAAAGTGACTATAGGCGTGTCTCCCGTATATCATTCGTCCACAACAGGAGCGCAGTTCCCTAACATACCAGTCAATCTTCTTTTTTTTTCATGTGAGCATGTGACAGGCACTTCCTCTTCTTAAATGTTGCCCATTTGTATATGATATCAACCGTCAGGTCGTTCGCAATAGACCCCAAGGCATTGAGAGCAACTGGAGTGACGGCAGTCGTGAACGCAGCGGAAGGCGCAGATTGGTGTCGCTACGTGGACACAGGCCCATCCTTCTATTCAGCCGTGAAACTCCCCGTCAGCTACTACGGAATTAAAGCCTTAGATTGCAGCACGTTCCAATTGTACACATACTTCGACAGCGTTTCCTCGTTCATCAACGACAATTTGCAAGCAGGAGGTACCCGTGAAACGTCGGCCGTATAAATACTCATATGGTCCCACAATTCCTGAAAATAAGTGATACAGCTCTCGTCCCAGCATCAGTATATTACCGGCTTTTAAATTCTCCCCATGAGAAATTTCCAATAGTTTCCCCGGGTTCATTTCAAACATGTTTTGGAAGACTCCAACCTTTTTCGACCAGAACAAGATTCCAACACAAATTCTGAGTAGAATGAATGTTTTACCCGTACTCTGTATACTAGTCACAGCGTGTGAAAAGACGAACTAACCTTTATTTAGCTGATGTAACATTTTCAGAAACGATTCCGGATGAGTTTTACCCGCAAACTATACGTTCGTATAATTTCCTCAACAGGAATGTGTAACTGATGTTTGAATATTTTACAGGAAAGGTTCTAGTACATTGCAAGCAGCCCTAGTCGTCTAGTAGCTGCGACCAGCACCGGAAGAACTACGAGTTTGCTCCGTACTGACGGGTTCTCCGGGACTGTTAATAGTCCACTTATTCGACACGCGACTGGAGTATAAAGTTATAACTGTGGCAAACAGCACTCATCTCCAGAGGGAAATGATTTTCTGTAAAAAGCATGACCAAATCCCCTGTTCTCCTGGAACAGGGAGGAAACACCTTTTCTCATAATTCTCCTATTCCACTAAATTTCAATTTTCACTCCTTCTGTGTTGAAATTACCCTCACGACCAATGACAAAATTAAATTTCGGACCGGAAACTATCTAATTAACCACATCACGTTGGCGAGAGGAACGACGTATATCTACGTTAATCCAATCTATGTAACTATGGAGTACCATTCTCACATGTACTACATTCATGCCCCAGTAATTTCCATGCCAACTTTGGGCAAGGTATTTGGTTCACCGGTGTGTCCTCCTTCTAACATTTCTTTTCCCTATTCCAGAACCATTCTAGAGTTTGACCAGTATATTGAAAGGCTTAGCTAACCTGTTGAACTTTCCCAGTTGAAACTATAGTCCACTGGACTTGAAACATTTATGTTTATCTTGCTTATATCTTGTGTGTTTGCACGTGTATTTACTAAAGACCAATGTAAGAATATATTGTGAATATTATACATCCAACTCAAAGTCCTTAAAAAATTCAGAGAAAATATATAAGGGCAACACCCTCGATAAAAAGCATCTAGCAAGTCTCAAACATTGGCCGATAATTTTTTGGGTTCGAATTTTGGCCTTTGGGAAATTCCATTATTTCTTTGACATTTTGGAAGAGTAGGATGGATCAAAAGAAAATTGTATATACAGCAATTCTTTGCATTCAGTGTCATATACGATGATATTTGCGGCTTTCGTTTTTATTTGTTTCGCAGTTTTATTTGGCTAAATCGGGTGGTTCGTGCACAGTGATTATCTTATTGTTGATTAAGGTTATACTAAAACTTCCCAGAAATTCCCCCCTTGCTTCCCATTTTTCTTCTTCCAGTAAACCCATGAGGTTTTTCATACAAAATTTTCAGAGGATCACAAGTTCTAAAAACATCTGATTTCCATCAGCAGGTCTCTTCTTGAAGGCCAACAAGCACAGATTTTTGCAAGGAATATGATTTTCTCCTCTCAACTCAGAGTGATCCTGACCTATCACGTGTTCTGACCTTTTGACGAGTGGAAATTTCTGCGTCCCTAGTTCAAGCTTTTGAAAAAAAAAATGCATGTGCAGAGGTTTGCCAGGAATGTCCTATACCAATCCAACACTGCCTGTCATGTTGTCATCAAATCATTGCTAAAAAACGTATCGAACAGTAATATTATTACAGCTGCATCCAAACTTCTTCAATATTTTTACGTCGGTATAGTGATGTTTTTTGCGGTATCTGTAACTCGTCGTGATTATTACTTATTTAAGATGCAGCTATATCTCAGAAAATTGTTTAGGCGTAAAAAGTCTGTTCCAAAAGAATTGGAATCCGTACAGTACATATCAAATGAAGAAAAGATTCAAAGAAATACCACTAAAAATCGTTGGTCACTGATTGATTTTTACTGAATCCTTTTTTCTTGCGGCAGATTTACATCGTTATACCTTTGTTTTTGCTACTATATTTTAATTATTGAAAACCTTTGGATATGTGATGGTTGATGCTATTTTTGCCTTTTGTTTTCTTGAAGATCGAAGAGAGAAGTTATGCCGAATGAAGGATTTCTGCAACAGCTTTGCGACTTGAACGAACGACTGTCACGAGAACGGAACTAAAAGCGATGAAGGACTGCATATAGGAGTCGTTCATCATGAGAAGGCTTATTCTCAGGATCGTATTCATTCATAGATGCAGCCAAGATCTTCACTTTTATGCCCGTAGTTACTAGAAATTATCGCTTATTTTTAAAACATGGGTAAATTATGCTACTAATGAAGACTATTTTTTCGTAATTCAAGCAAAAGATTCGAGTCAAGAAATAAGCGGAGAACAGCAATCGTTCGCGTTTTCTTCACGAATATTTTGAAAGATATTTTGACGCGGACCGACTTGGATCGATATTCTATTGGAAATTATGCTTTATGGACGTGTTATTGTTTCTTGTCATGCCGGAAATGTATGCAATTCATTGAAAAAGCTGTTATGTGAGCATGTGAAACGTGGTATTCGATGATTGATGGTTTTCTGAAAGTTGTTCCACTTTTATATTCATCGCAATAGTTCACTTTTATTGCGATCTTGTCAATATCGCAACGATTCTAACTTTTTGAACTTTGAAATATTACTCAAGAGGAAGAGAAAACAAATGGATGCGTCAGAGAACAAGCTTTCGTTTTGTTGGACAAATTATTTATCCCAAGGAGCGGCATCTTATTGACAGTATGACAAATGAGTCGTGAGGAAAAAGGCCGAACACAAATGGACGAAATAAAAAATTCAAAGCGGTGAAAGAATTGCAGCGGTTCGTCGTACAATGGTTTCTTGATTCAAACATATACAGATATTGCATCGCCGGAAAAGTTATTCGTTATATCCTGCTGAAAGAAAAATGTATCACATATGATACTGTGATGTAAATTCATCCATCTGACGTTGAGACTGCCGTAACCTGAAAGCGTCCTCTACCTGTAAACATAAAAGCTTTGCAATACTCGAAGATATCTGTTCAGATAATAGTTACTATATTTCTTGAAAACAAAGATCTTCTTCTATCTGGAGAAAATAAATTTTAAAAAATTCATTCCTGCCGAATCGCAATATTGGCACTTTGGAGGCATTTTCTGGAATCCGTCGAATTAGGTTGTCATTCCTGGAACCTCATGGCTCAACCCTTGTCCTGGCAAAAGAGCTTCTTGGCATGTGTTTGGGACACTAAATACATCATTGGCTCAATGAACACCAGGAAATGGCTGCTGATGTGAGACCCCCACATGCAGGTACCTAAATATGTGGACAATCTGACATGAAGACAGTATTATTTTTCTTTGAAAAAAAAACAATAAAAAAGGCAAGACATGAGGACAATGACTCAACATAGGGACATTTTGTGATGAAATTACGAATAAGTTTCAGGCCAAATTATGTCAAGAAACAGATATTTCCAACCCTAAAATTGATTTAAGAAAAGTTCTTGGGTATTTCTCTCACCAATTTACCCTTCATTTAGCTAATTAAAAAAATTACCTCCAGCATCAAGGGACTTGCTTCCCTCTTTTTCACTTGCATGTTATTTTTTCTACAAAGAATGCCAACATTTTTGTGTACTGATGTAAAGAGGTGTCAGTAATCAATTCCCAACTGTCCATGTTTTTTAAAAACATTGATTGAATCAGTTTGAATTGGGAGGCAATTTTTATTTTCATGGAATTATGGTAAGTATTTTGTCCATAAAACACCCATTTAAAATTATATTATGTAACCCAGAAACTAATTTCCTTCTTTATTCTTTTCCTCTCCTTATTTGGGTTGAAATCTCTTTACAAGGTTTTTGGTTCCTTGCAGCTGTTCCCTCTTGTTTTAGTTCCCCTCTCTTGAGTCAGCCCACAATAATTCATGATGCCTGTTTATGTTTGTTTCCTCTATAGAATTGGCTATTTGTTGACAGTGATATATGACCCTTTTCTTTCTGAAGAACTTGCCTATTTAGGAAGAACCCTCTTGTCCAAGGTACAAGCGTACTTATTAAATATTTGTATACATATATATACGAGGATTCTAACAAAAGTTCTTGGAGTCAACCACAAGCCATTGCCAGAGGTGGATGAACATTTTTTTATTGGATTCCTCATCCTTTTTTAGCCTAGGACCAATTTTTTTGTCATCCCTAGACAAAAATGGAAACTGGGAAAAAAAATTCATTTTCATTCCAAGAACTTCTGTTGGAATGGATGGGCACAGCACCAGAAAAAACTCATTCAATTTTTTTTCCCAGTTTCCATTTTTTGTCTAGGGATGAAAACAAAATTGGTTCTAGCTTAAAAAAGGATGAGGAATCCAATAAAAAAATGTTCATCCATCTCCGGTGATGGCTTGTGGTTGACTCCGAGAACTTTTGTTAGAACCCTCGTATACCTGGATGTATAAATATTCATTAGTGTTCAAGGAAACCACAGTTCCTCAATCTAGGCAAATATCTTGCCTATATACTTTGTGTTGCCAGAAGGTATATAAATACCCTGGTTACTGTATGTTCTCCTAGAATTAATCTAGAGTCATTTGTGGTTATTTCTCAGAGAGACTTGGAGAACATATTAGCAAGACTCTCTTCAAATCTCCATATCTTTATATTTTGTGTGATTGTGCAATTGTAATATTTGTGACTTGAATATATATTGAAGAAATATTTATTTGAACTTGTATTTTATTTACCTCAGTCTAGGGACAACAAATTGGCGCAGTTGGTAGTCTTTAACTTCTGGTTAATTTGACCTGACTTTTTAAATTTATTTTTGTGTGGGGTGAGTTCCCCCTGTACAGAGTAATAGTACACAAAGTGCAAATTAAAATGTCAGTTTATCAACAAATATTGTACAACAAGTGTGTATTTTGGAGTGTATATCTTTTTGAC